GTCACAACTTTAATGCCAGTAGCTCACAAAGTAGAATTTTTGCTCACAAGACTCCACAGCTTAGAGGGAACATTGGTGAGGAGACTTGGCCCAGACGGGGGATCCCTAGATAATGGGCATATTTTCATGGGCCGGCCTTGGGCAGACCACCTCCTCCCTGCCTCAGTTTCCCATAGGGAAAATGGAGAGGGAAATGGCCTTGCTTGCAGGCAAGGATGATGGACGTCTGGACCAGTGTTCCCTCTAAGCTGAGTGAGTGTGGGCTAGCTCACAGTTTTTTAGCCTCCAGCTCACACATTTTGGTCCCAGCTCAGGAAGGAGGGCTCCAGAGCAAACTAATTGATGCAGCAGCCAAATCGCTCGCTCTCAACTTTAATGCCAGTAGCTCACAAAGCAGAATTTTTGGACATGTTTTTACTCTGGATTAGAATTGGTGATAAACACGAATGTGTCTCTGCCACGTGTGGGGTGAGCGGGGAGTCTCCAAAGGGGCTCTGGGCAACCAGTTCCATATTTATGGCACCCTTTGGTGTTTAACTGCAATGCTGCAATAAAGGAAATGGTTGTGGTGTGCCCCCCCCCCCAGTTTACAGCTTAAACATCTTCAACATCTTCCCCCATGTTACGTTTGTGGGTGTTTTAAAATGTCATTTCCCCTTTTGGAAAAAGGAAGCAGCAGGCCATGTCTTTTTTAAAAAAACAACAACCCAAAGTCTCCTCCCGCCTCTCAGGGTTGACACAACCAGTGCTCCCTTTAAGCTGTGGAGTCTTGTGAGCCAGAGGCTAAAAAACTGTGAGCTAGCTCACACTAACTCAGCTTAGAGGGAACACTGGTCAAGACCAAGGCTCCCTCTACGCTGTGGAGTCTTGTGAGCAAAAATTCTACCTTGTGAGCGACTGGCATTAAGCAAGCGATTGGGCTGCTGCATAAATTAGTTTGTTCTGGAGACATCCTTCCTGAGCTAAGAAAAAAATGTGTGAGCCGGAGGCTAAAAAACTGTGAGCTGGCTCACACTAAGTCACCTTAACAGGCCTCTGGGGAGAGAGTTTTCCTAGAACCTCCCGAGAACACTAGGATGCAAAAGAGATTTGTTTCTCCTTAACTGGATTCCCTGAAGAGCAGCCGGCGTGTTCGTTTGCCTGCTGGAATATCCCCGCGGGAAAAGGAAAAAAGGTTCCACCATGGAGAGATGGTAAGTGTTAAACTCCCTATCCTTCTGGTGATGGTCAGGACAAGGCCTTGTGGGTGCAGCGTCCCCGTGCGAGTGTAGAAAAGCTACGGCCTTCTAGGAGAACTGGCTTTCAAAAGTTTCTAGCCTCTTTGGTTGTGAAGACAGGCTGTTAAGTAGGTTCACAATGCCTGGTACCCCCTCCGAAACCGAGGTGGGCTCAACAGACGGGTGGACAAATTGTGGTCAGGTGGGTGCATCTAGCCCATGGGTACTTTTCTTCTGCCCCACAAGCTCCTTAACCCAGGGGCGTCAAACTCATTTGTTACGAGGGCTGGATCTGACATAAATGAGACCTTGTTGGGCCGGGCCATGCGTGCCACAAAACGTAATGCCAGGTAGCAGAGATATAAACTTTATAAAGGACACAAACACAAAGGGGTGGGGTTTTTTTTAACTTAAAATAAAAACGTGCTTAAAACACCCGCACCCTGGCAATATTTTGTTTCTTTAACAGTGTCTGATCACTGACACCTCTTGCTCTGAATTATTGCATCAACATGTCTGTGCTGTTGCAGTCTTGAGTAAGCTGTTCAGGTGTGTATCTGTAAGCTGCAAACCTACGATGATGCAGCAGCAGCAGCAGAAGTGGAAGAAGAAGCAGAAGACAGCCAGTTCCACTGTGGGCCTGATAGAAGCCCTAGAGCCACTAGCCAGCACTGCCCTCCGGTTGGCCTGGCAAATGGTCAAGGCAGGGGTGTCAAACATGCGGATCCGGCCCCCGGGCCGCATGTTTAACACCCCTGCCTTGACCATTTGCCAGGGCAATCGGAGGGCAGTGCTGGCTAGTGGTTAGTTCTCCTGAAAAGCTTTTGAGCAGCTGAAAGGCCAAGGGTCCTCAGAAGCCAGGGGTCCTCAGGCCACAACTGGGTCCCCCGTCCACTTTTGAGGACTCCCAGTTGGGTGCCGGCCCTCCCCGTTTCCTCTGCTGTGCCAGCTCAGGAAATGGGAACAGCTGGTGCCACCTCAAAGATGGGCGATAATGCCATGTGGCTGGCCCCCCCCGAAAACTGCCCATCACTGCCTGGCTGTGTCAGATACCTAGGATCAGTGCCTGTGCTTCCAAGCCCAGCAGAACTCCCCCAGGAACAGCAGGAGTAGAACGGATGATGCAAAAGAAGGAGGCACATTTGCGGAATTGGTACAGTCACCGAATCCAGCTTTGAGCCAGTTTGGTGTCCTGGTTAAGTGTGCGGACTCTAATCTGGGAGAACCGGGTTTGATTCCCCACTCCTCCACTTGCACCTGGCTGGATTACCTTGGGCAAGGCCTAGTTCCGATAAGAGCTGTCCTTGAAAAAGAGCAGTTTCTGTCAGAGCTCTCTCGGCCCCACCTACCTCACAGGGTGTCTGTTGTGGGGAGGGGAAGGGAAAGGAGTTTGTAAGCCACTCTGAGACTCCTTTGGGTAGTGGAGGGTGGGGTATAAATCCAATCTCTTCTTTTTTGAGCGCGTGGTGTGTACAGGCTGCTAGGAGGATGCAAGCTTCTGAGTATGGCAGAATTCTTCTGCAGCAGCTGGTTGTGATTGCCTTCTCTCTATAAATATTTCCTTTCCCATCCCTCACAGTGGCCAGAAGTATTTGACAGTGGTGGTGAAGGTGTTTGGACCCCTCACTAGGAATTACTACATTCGCGCCATCCTACACGCAAGGTAAGGATGTCCCGTCTTTTTGCAAGTCTACGGAATTCGCATCTTTAGCTCTCCTGCTTGCAGTGCTTCCATATCTAGGTAGCAATTGCAAAAGACCAAAGAAGCTGTGCTATACACTATAAAATATTGTATTGTGATTATTTTCGAAATGACTTGGTAGTCCGGAAAAGTTTGTTAACTCCAAATGCTACATCTTGGACTCCTTTCTTGCTATGATGCTATAATTGTTTGTTAATGCACTGTTCAATTGTAATTGTTAAAATAATCCCAGTATTTATTTAGCCTAACCGTATTTATTGAAATAGTATGAATTGTATTTTATTTTGTATTTGCTGGTTTTAAACTCTATGTGGTTTTAAATTGTTTGTAAGCCGCCCTGAGCCACTTCAGTGGGAGGGCGGGGTAGCAATTTAATAAATAAATAAATAAATAAAATAGTATTTTTTATAGCATATAGCACAGCTTCTTTGGTCTTTTGCAATTGTTAGTCTGAGCTGTGATTCTCTAATGTTATATCTATTTCTGGGTAGGCCGTGACGTGTCTTTATGTGACTTTTGCTGCAATACGGCGCTCCTCCAGTGTTTGTGTGCCCTCTGCAATGTTGTTGTTGTTGTTACTTGGTTGTTTATAGTCCTCCTTTCTCGCTGAGAGTGCAAGTCAAGTACAGTCAACAAGGTGGGACCTCCAGTGAGCAATACAGTTGGGTTTGGTCTGCAGAAATCTGAAAACAAACAAATTGAAACAAAGAGCTGTGGCGGCCCCTGACTGGTGGAATGAGCTCCCGGATGACATCAGGACCCTGTGGGACCTTCTGCAGGGACCGCAAGACGGAGCTCTTCCGCCAGGCCTTCGATGAAGGGCCACCTCTTAAAATCGAGGTCCTGTCCCCCCAACATCAGCACCAACTTAATATCTGATAGCTTGGCTGTGGTGGCAGTTTGACCATCTAGATGCTGAGACAATGCCGCCACCACTTATTAGTACTATGTTTGCTAGCACTTGTTTGCACATGTTCTGGTTTTAACTTTATTACTGTTTTGATGTATCTCGCTGTTTTAATATATTTATATTTACACATATGCTGTAAGCTGCCCCGAGCCTGCTTGGCAGGGAGGGCGGGATACAAATTAAACAAAATAATAATAATAATAGATGGTGAGGTATTATTTGGGGGGAGGGGTCCCGTTTTGTTGACTGCACCGAATCATTGTGGGTAATCGGCCTGGAGTCCAGGTGAGAAAGGTGGACGACGAATAACCGAAATCTTAAAAATAAAAATGAGCAGGTCTCTTCTGCCGGCTGTCAATAGCCTTTGCAAGTGGGAAGGAGGGGGGCCTGCAGAGAATCCTAAAATCCAAATCCCCTGAAAGTTCTGAACGCTCCACCCAATTTGTAGATCGCTCTGCGGGGGCGGGGGGGGGGCAGACAACCCCCGTTAGAAATCACCCTTCTGACTTCCACGAAGCACAAGCCAGTTTACAAACAGGCCGTGAAATAGTCTTCAGAACTTCTGGGGTGTTCCTGTACTCAAGTGGGCAACCGTGTTGGTCTGCAGGAGAAGAGCCGTATTCGAATCCAGGAGCACCTTAAAGACCAACCAGATTTTTGGGGTAGGAGCTTTGGAGAGTCTTTCTTGGATCTGATGGAGGGAGCTTTGACTCTGGAAATCTCATACCCCCAAAATCTTGTGGGTCTCAAAGGTGCTACTTGGAGTCGACTCTAGCTGTTGGTATAAATACAACTCCATGCGGTGAGTCAGAGGTACGACCATAGGCACAGCTCACAGATCATGGGCTGGGGGGACGGGCAGCCCGCAGGGTCTTGTATTCCGTTCCTCACGCTTCTGAACAATTTGCCAGGAGCATCGGCCTGCTGAAACCCATTGTGTTGGCCAGCAAACTAGCTCTCCCGACAGCTTGAGCACTGAGTTCCGTTCATTAAGAGCAGGTAGGAGGGAAATGGGGCACTTATGGCTTGAGAGCCAGTTTGGTGTAGTGGCTACGAGCGCGGACTGTAATCTGGGACAACCGGGTTTGATTCCCCACTCCTCCACATGCAGCCAGCTGGGTGGCCTTGGGTCTGTCACAAGTTCTCTCAGGGCTGTTCTCCCACGAGCAGTCCTCGAAAGAGCTCTCTCAGCCCCGCCTACCTCACAGGCAGTGCTCCTTCTAAGCCGTGGAGTCTTGTGAGCAAAAATTCTGCTTTGTGAGCTTCCAGCATTAAAGTTGTGAGCGAGCGATTTGGCTCCTGCATAAATTAGTGTGCTCTGGAGCCATCCCTCCTGAGCTGAGACAAAAATGTGCGAGCCGGAGGCTAAAAAAGCTGTGAGCTAGCTCACACTCACTCAGCTTAGAGGGAACACTGCTCACAGAGTGTCTGTTGTGGGGAGGGGAAGGGAAAGGAGATTGTAAGCCAGTCTGAGACTCTTTTGGGTAGTGAAGGGCAGGATATAAATCCAGTCTCTTCTTCTTCCCATTTTGGAGTGCTCCGGGTCCCAATGGTGCTGGAAACAGGGAGCCCTCGAAAACAGGCGAAGACTCAGATGCGCTTGCCCCTGTTCCACCCCCCCCCTCTCTCACTGCTCCTTCCTCTTTGCAGTTTGGCTGTCCCCGCGGGGTTCCTGCTATCCACCATCCTGGGCACTGTATGCCTGGCTATAGCAAGTGGCATCTACTTACTGGTAAGTGACCAACACCATCCCTCCCCCCTTCCCACAAAACCCCAGGGATGCCAAACAATTAGATTTGCAACTGATGGATCATTTGTCTTTTGGCAGGTGGGAGCGACAATCAGTTAACTGCCAGCAACTGTGAATTTTAGCAGTGCTTCACTGCTGCTAAGATAGGAAGGATTTTTTTTTCTTTAAAAAAAAAACAGAAAAAAAGAACTGGAGGGGGGGGAAGGACTAAATATCCAGCAACTAATTAAAAGGGGGGGATGACGACATATATACAAAATAGTAAAAAATATATATTTAAGGGCAGTGGTATGTGATAGTATTACATAATGGGATGTAAGAAATGTGGCATAATTACATAAGAGTGGCATGCAGCTGGAGCGGGTGAGGCCTCTCTTTGGGATCCACGGCGGAAATGTGCCAAGGCCTTTAGAAGGCATAACCGCTCAAGCACCCTGCAGTGTCCGCTTCACTTGGTGCTTCCATGGCTGGAATCGGCTCCCCCAAGTTGATCAACTGGCGCTGCATTCGCCTTGTGTAGCGTATCGACCAGAACCTCTTGTCCTGACCAAAGGCCTGTTGTTTGTTGGAGATCCCCCACCCCAATTCCTACAACGACAGCTGCGAAGTGTGTGAGGGCTAATTCCTGGCTGATTCTTTGTTGTGGGAGAGAAAACATTTTTGTTTCTGCTCTGCCAGAGAGCCAGTTCTCTGTGTTTGGCCAACAGAGCCAAGGAATGATGGTCCTCTTCCTCCCTCTGCTGGGAGGAGTTCATACTACACTTCAGTTTGAAATATATTCACAAATCCATTTACCAAGTTGCCCAGTATTTCACACAGGTCTAAAACGATGTATGTTTTCTCCTTAGGTCATACTGTGACATAAATGTCACTTCTATTTGTTTAATTCTGTCTGATCAAGGAGAGGATGGGATAACTTTCTTATTATAAAGAGGTCTCCCGTCCTCTCCTTTCCTCTCTTGAGGGCATCCGAGAAAAAAAGAAAAGAAAAAGAAGAATAAACTTATGTGAGGGTTATTGGAATATGCTGATTGTTTTCTCATGACTGGAATACAACAGACCCCTCCCCGTCATTATTAGTAGTCGTAGTAATTTCTGAAGCTGGAACCTGTGTTCAGAATGTGACAGGTTTAAAACATTTGAAGTGGCTATTAGCCGCAAGGGATAGATAGGAACTCTCGGTCTGGGGCAAGGGATGCTCTGTATTCTTGGTGCTGGGGGGGGGCAACAGTGGGAGGGCTTCTAGTGTCCTGGCCCCACTGGTGGACCTCCTGATGGCCCCTGGTGTTTTTGGCCACTGTGTGACACAGAGTGTTGGACTGGATGGGCCATTGGCCTGATCCAACATTGGCTTCTCTTCTGTTCTTATGGATAAACATCTGGAGCAGAGGTCCATCAGTGGCTATTAGCCACAAAGTATAGATAGGAACTCTCGGTCTGGGGCAAGGAATGCTCTGTATTCTCGGTGCTTCAGGGGGGGGTCAACAGTGGGAGGGCTCCTAGTGTCCTGGCCCCACTGCTGGACCTCCTGATGGCACCTGGTATTTTTGGCCACTGTGTGACACAGAGTGTTGGACTGGAGGGACCTTTGGCCTGATCCAACATTGGCTTCTCTTATGTTCTTATATGGAGCAGAGGTCCCTCAGTGGCTATTAGCCACAAGGTACAGATGGGAACTCTTAGTCTGGGGCAAGTGATGCTCTATATTCTTGGTGCTTGGGTGAGGGCAACGGTGGGAGGGCTTCTGGAGTTCTGGCCCCACTGCTGGACCTCCTGATGGCCCCTGGTATTTTTGGCCACTGTGTGACACAGAGTGTTGGACTGGAGGGGCCTTTGGCCTGATCCAGCATTGGCTTCTCTTGTGTTCTTGTGTGAAGTCAGATTTCCAGTGCATCATCACATCAGCCCTGTGAGGTGGGCTGAGAGAGCATAAATGGCTCTCTCACATAGCAGGCTTCCTGGCAGGATGGGAATGAGTCCAGGTCTCTCCGATTCTAGTGGAACACCCAAAACCTTACACCACACTGATTCGCCACACGTCCATTACTGTGGAACTGCAAAAAGAGATGGACCGAATGAATCAAAAGTGACCTTTGACTTCCCCCGGGGTTTCTTCCGCAGGCTGCCATCCGTGGCGAAGAATGGCATCCCATTGAACCCAAGGCGTGGGAGCGGCAGGAAGTGGGAACCACGATTAAACACCCGCCGACCAACCCGCCGCCTCGACCACCCGCAGAAGCGCGCAGGAAGCAAGCCGACGAGGAAGCCACGGCTCAAGGGAATGTTCACCAAACAGCACAATAAAATGTTAGATCAGGTTTCCCTCTCCCTCCATTTTGGAACTGCTCACTCTCAACAGCAACACAAATTGTAAATTAAGAATCATTACCATATTACAAATACAAAATTTAAAGCTTGCTGATGTAACCATTACTTTATTAACACTCGGTCTTCACAAAGTTGGAGTCCAGCAGCACCTTTAAGATCAACAAAGTTTAATTCTGGGTATGAGCTTTTGTGTGCAGGCACCCTTCATGGAATCATAGCATTGGAAGGGACCTCCGGGGTCGTTCCGCTCTGTTCTGCTATGGTCAGGCCTCACCTGGAGTCCTGTGCCCAGTTTTGGGCACCACATTTTAGGAAGGATGCTGACAAGCTCGAGCGTGTCCAGAAGAGGGCAACCAAGATGGTGAGAGGGTTGGTTTCCAAGTCTTACGAGGAAAGGCTGAAAGAGTTGGGTATGTTTCGTTTGGGAAAGAGAAGGCTTAGAGGGGACATGACTGCAGTCTTCCAGTATCTGCAGGGCTGTCATGTAGAAGATGGAGCAGATCTATTCTCTCTTGCTCCGGATTGCAAGATTAGATCGAATGGGTGGAAATTACAAGGGAGTCGTTACCGGCTAAATATCAGGAGAAACTTCCTAACTGTCAGAGTGGTTGAGCAGTGGAACAGACTGCCTCGGGAGGTGGTGGATGCTCCTTCGTTGGACGTTTTCAAGCAAAGGCTGGACGGCCATCTTTCGGGGATGTTGTAGGGCTGTCTTTCGGCTGTGCTCCTGCAGAGTGCAGGGGGTTGGACTAGGTGACCTGCAAGGTCCCTTCCAACTCTGACATTCTATGATTCCAGAAGACGGCAACAACAACAACAACAACCCTCTAGGATCCTTGGCCAAACTGGCCTGGAGAACAATTGCTTCCGGACTCCAGAGTGGCAATCAGCATTTCCCTGGGCGTGTAAGAAAGGGCCAGAACTCCAACTTCAGAGCTCAAACTTTGTTCTGGCTGCTTCAGACCAACACAGGGACCCACCAGACTCCGTCTTAACTATTTACGTATTTCCATTGTCCTGTTTAATGAATCTGCCATCTTTTAAGTCTTTGGGGTCTATTTTTGTAATTTGGCTATTGTGCTCCCACCTTCCAGGGACTCTCGGGAGAGAGCAGTTGTCGCTAATGCAGTAGGGTGGACTCATTAAGGTTCTTTGCATCATTGGAAGGGTTGTCAAGAGACTGATTTCGAAGCATCCCCTTTAGGATTGGGGCCGTGCTCTGTTGTGCAGGCTGCGGCTAAGACCCATCGTGAGAAGGGTCTGGGCTTTGAACCCACGTGCTGAGTCTGCTCCTGTGTCGCCAACGGTAGGGGGAAGAGGCCCAGCGTAAAAGTGAGTCCTTTATTTTTCAAAGGGATGAGGAGGCCTGACCCGGACATCTGCTGGGGTCTCAGAGCACCCTGTCCCCCAGCCACGGGTGTGTGTGCAAAAGGTTCCCCTGCCTCCATGAGCCCCGGGGTGGTGGCCTTCCACTCCTAGAGGAAGATGGTGCCTCTCGCATCTGATGTCCGAGCGGCCTTGCAGCTCAGACATCAGATTCGTGAGGTCATTCCAGCTCCCCCAGCACTCCTAAGGCACTTTTATAAAAGTTATGGCCGCCGAAAGGCTGTGAAGGTGGGGGAGTGGAGTGGCGGAAAAGGTCCCGTGGCGGCCAGCTCAGCGCCGCTGCTGCCACCTCTCGCCTGCTCCCCCCGAAAGGCTGTGAAGGTGGGGGGGGAGCAGCAGAAACGGGCCCATGGAGGCTAGCTCAGAACCACCACCGCCGCCCCTCGCCTGCTCCCCCGAAAGGCTGTGAAGGTGAGGGGGTGGAGTGGCGGAAAAGGGCCCGTGGTGGCCGGCTCAGCGCCACCGCCGCTGCCCCTCACTTGCTCCCCCCGAAAGGCTGTGAAGGGGGGTGGGTGGAGCGCCTCACGTCCCGAAAATGGGTGCGCAGCTTGCTCGGCCCAGGCCGCACCGGGCGAGGGAAGCGCGACGCGGCCACCTTGGCACCTCTCACCCTCTGCGGCTTCGTCTGTCTCTCCACTGACCGCTCGCCGCCCATTCCAGGGCCACGCGGGCCAAGGCGGCAAGGCTCGTCCCTCCTCCCCACCCACCCAGCCAATGGCACGCCAGTTGCCCCTAGTGGTAGCTGACGGGCCAATGGCTGAGGGAGTGCATTTTTTCTCGCCACCCCATAGGACAGTGGCCCCACCAAAACTCGACTATATATAAGGAGAGACTATAACAACCTCTAAAAATCTGCACATTGTCTTTAAATTAATTAAAATCTTAAATATAGATAGCCGTCTCCAGAAACACATACTCCGCCTCAAACATTGCCGTTTTACAGTTTAATTTCATTTTTCTATGTTCTTGGCCCTAATTTTACTAGCTGCTAAAGGCAAAGCGTGCTACCCTATAGGAAACTGTAGGGTTTATGTCCGACAGCAGAAATATTAAGTTATTGATGTCAGAAAAATTCTGCAATTTATCTATTATTGCAGTCAAGAATGTACACCTCTCGGTTCACAGTACAATGGGCAGACCACGACATAATGAAAAAGATCCTCTGTGGAAGTTTTACAGATACAAATACGCTGTTCCTGGGGGGGTGGGGGGGTCTCCTTGCAATCCCCTCTAGGCTAGATCCTACCCCACCCATCTCTCAGGTCACAGCCCGGAGATCCACTGCTGCTGGTTCATCTTTTGCCTTAGCCCGGGGCTGCAGCTTGTCTGGGTGACTTTGGGGATCAGAAGAGCTTCCAGGACGTAGTGGATTGAGCTGGGGGGAACTATGCAGAGGGGGAGAAGAGCATGCGGTACTGCCTCTGGGACTGACAGGCAGCATCGTCCAGACTTCCTGGGCGTGCCCCAGAGGGAGAAACACAGTCTGGGTCTGCCCCTCTTTCCTGGCAATGCACAGAACTGTTCCAAGTAGCAAACTGGCCTCTTCCTATTACCGTGGCCTTGCACATGTGGCATGTTTGCAGTGTTGGCAGCCACTGTGAGCACCAGGCGAAACAGCCTGGCACGGACGAGTCAACGGGACCGATCGCTTATGTGACTGTGCCAGGCGACACCGTCCAGCCCCACTGCGCGCGTTCGCTTTGCCCCTTCCGGCGCTGGACAATCCCCATTTCTGACTCTTGTGAAACCACATCTATCAACTTAGTTTCCCATTTGTTCAAACGGGGGGTACAGCTTGAGAAGAGGAGCTGTTCCAAGCGACGGGCAAAGGGCGAAGAGGCACATTCTGCTGAAGAGGCGCCTGCCTGTGTTCCCAGCTGACGTGGAGTCGAGGCATCTCCTCTGTGGTTTGCTTCCCAGGCCTGGAGGTGGCACTGCAAGGTCTCTTGGGCTCAAGAGATGAGTTTTTGCAAATGGGATTCCTTCCAAAAGGGTTCAGAGTCTCCAAATCATCCCTATGAGGAGGTTGCACTTCCTAGGAAGCTGCCTTGTACCAAATCAGACCACCACCACCACCCCGGGTCCATCCAAGCCAGTCTTGTTGACTCCAGGATCTCAAGCCGAGGTCTTCATCCCCTTGTCTGTAACCTTCTAATTTCCAAGCTGCCTTCACAGCTTTGTTCAGGAAGGATTCCCAATCTCTAGATCATATGTGCCGCATGTCCCCCCCTTCCATGATGGAGGCAACTTTCCGAATGGCAGGAGCGCGGGGGGGGCGTTTACCTTCCTCTGCAGAGTATCAACTCTCACCTGCAAGCTATTTAAAGCTGTTTGCTTTTAAGCCCCTCTGCCGCCAGCCTCCAGGTGGGGCATGGAAGTTTTCCAGGATTACAACTGAGATCAGTTCCCCTGCAGCAAATCGATGCTTTGGAGGGTGGAGCTTATGGCATCACACTGCCTTGAG